TATTTAAGAAAGGACATGTATGGGTAAAGTTTCTTCGGAAAGAATTTTTACGGAAAATTAACTAACGACTGGAGGTGTAACACTTGGTTGTTGTAGGGCTTCACTTAATTGGTGACAATTTGTCCTTGCAATAAACCAGACATTGTATTTGCTGCTACAATTGTCTTGGAACCTCCTGATACTTCTTTTTTTTTTTCATCAGTAATCTATAAGTAAACATAGAATGCCATCTGGTGGTTGATGATGCCTTGCAGGTACTTATCCCATTTCCATGTATTCACCCTCGTATGGCATTAGAGACAGCTCCAACCAGGATGGGCATTATCTAAGTATTTATTCTTGATGTTCCCATTACACTCTCCTTACATTAATTCAACAGTTACAATACACCATTACTGCTCTCAAAACCAAACTTTTTACCTGAGTTAAAGTATTTCATGAGTAAAGAGATACCTGCTGAGAATAATACTGTTACGTATCTGCTTGTTTGTTTGTTTTCGGTAGAAATTCTTTCTAAGGATCTTCAGCGATACAAGTCCTTTCTTGATTAAACCAGTTTATTCTTCCTCAATACAACTTTTAGTACACAGAAGTTCCACAATCAGTACATTTCTCGTCACTTTAAACTTAACAACTTCTATAATACACGCTATAAATCACAGCGATTCATAATCTCGATAACTTCGCTCTCAACGAGTGCAGGATACACACTTTACAGATCACTAGCTTGAAACTAACAGAATCATAAATTACACGGAACTCAAAGTGACTACTGCTCTCTGTTCATTAACTCCACTGGATTTCTCTGCCAGGCTTATATACTAACAATAAGGGCATCACGAACACACTCGGACTTTCTCGATCATTCGAAAAACTCATCAGCAGCATCACGTGACTTCCGCTGTCGTAACAATACCTTATTTTTGAGTGTTCTTTAGGTCTGATCTTTTTATAAGCTGACTTACTCCACTCATTCTCCTTCGATTCCAGTTCTACGAATAATTTTTTTGCTTTTGTATTCTGTTCTGACTCTGTTTAGCTAAATCTTTATTGTATTTTAGATTATTATCTTCCTGACCTGTAACTTTTAGTTTAATGATTTATGTTTCTTTTCATTTTCACTGATTCCCACCTCCTTTTCAATATAGGTATTCTGGCTTTCAGTATTTCAGAGGTAAGACTACGTGATTTGAATTTAACATTTTAAAATTAAAATTAATTTAAACAGATATTTATTTCTGAAATACCTTCTCACTCCTCTTGCCCACACCATTTTTTTGTCACAACTGCATCTTTCAACAAAATCTAAATTATAGTGGAAAGTAGATCATCTGATGCTTGCACACTATGTCAAATGGAATGTGGGAGGGTGGAATATTATAAGTAAGTGACACATGCTCTACAATGCATAAAGGTCATTCAGAAATTTTGAGCCACATGTTTAGTTGACAGCATGAGCTCAAACTTAACAAGAAAGGCTTTCATTATTTCTAAAAATCTAAACTTTTGTCTTCAGCTTTAAATTAAGCTTTCTTTCTTTCTTTCATTTGTCCACTATAAATAATTACACTTGTCCTTTTGCATATTAGGTTCTCAAATCTGTAGCTATTGAGGAGATCAAGTAATTGTGTACATGATTTATCCGTGAATTACCACATTATTATGAAGATTGGCAATGAACTCTGGTAATTTCTTGGGTAAGCCTTCTAGTGACATTCTGGTCTGTGTCTCAGTCTGGATTCATTGTGCCTAAATCAGAGTTGAAGCCAAGTCTAATGTTATTAAATAGACAAGTGTTGAGAATGTGCCAAACTCTATGTCTAGAATGAGGCTAATTCTAATTTTCTGTTCTTTTGGATGGCTTTTCTGATGTCATCTTATTCAACCAACCAACTAGCACAGTTTAAGTGTGGTCCTATACCTCAATACAGTACAACACAAGTTTAAATTATAACAGCATTTCAGGTAAGTTTGAGCAATATGTTATAAAAATGATAATTATTATTATAAGAATATTTTTAGAAGTATGTTATAACTTAGATATATAACTGTGCTACATCTTTGATTTTATAGAATGAATTAGGGCTGGTGTTCGGAATTGCACCCCAAGTTACCACATAAAGATTGAAATTTTGGGTTAGTAATGTGAAAACATACATGTTGTAAAAAACATTCATTACCATATGTATTTCAGTTATGTTATTAAAGTTTTGTAAGTAGCCAGGAAATTACATAATATTTGAAATTAGACTGTGACTGTAACAAAAGTCACAAGATATATGACATATGATTAATTAGAAGTTTAAAATTTTCATATATGTAATGTATTTGAATAAAGTTAACTTACTGTTATATATTTGCTTTTTATTTTTTGTTTAAAAAATTTTGTATTCCTTTTTTTTTCCCACATGTATTTTAGACTTCAAGTATTGGGAGGATCCATCTGATGAGTTTAAAGATTTTGAAGGAACGCTACTACCTTTATGGTGTTTCTCAGTTGTCCAGACAAAAAAACTGGCTGTCACCTCTCTTTTCTGGAACCCTCGTTACCCAGACTTATTTGTTGTGGGTCATGGATCATGTATGTTTGCCTTTTTGTATTCTGAGGCAAAAATTAGTATAAAAACAAAGATATATATATATATTCATACACACATGCACATGCTTATATAATAAGTATAATGTTTGTGTTGTATACTTGCTGAAAGGCCAAATTTTACAATTATTGAATAGGGCAAAGGTTATTTTTGATTTTAAATTATAAAGCCGGGAAACATAACTTTCAATACTTACATAAATGTAAAAGATTCTTAAAACTATCCATACTATTAAGTTTTATGAGTTTCATTTAAATAACAAGCTTGTTGTTTTTTTATTAAATCCTCTTTCTGATGGTACTTGTAGCACATAATTATGTTGAGACTTAGGAAGTTTAGACCTGTATGAATAATTTAGTGCTCTTCCTAGAGAAAAGAAATTAATGTGCAGTATAGTATTGGAAGTAATTATAGAAACACGAGACTCAAAAACAATAAGTAGGTGCAACTAAATCATCAGTTTGTCACTAGTATAGTACGTTATTAGAGAAAAAAAATGAATAAGTTATACAATGCATTAGTTATTGTTTTTGCTTTAAATAGAGCAGTTTTTATGTTACCATAAGTTTCACAGTGCATGAATTAGAACTGTTATTCCAGATGTCCTGTATTTCTCACCACAATTCCAGGTATTTAGTTGCCAACTGGCCTACTCAGTTTCCATATAAGCTCATATACCTTATTAATATTCATATCAGGATCTTGTATAGATTAAGCCATAGTTGCAAGTATTCCAACAGGCTGCATTTCCTTTCAGATATGGTTTTATCAAATTTACTGTGATCACTGTCTTACTGAAAGATGTCTCTCATGCAAATCATCATGCATCACCTATCTATCAATAGGATCATAGTTCACTCGTGTGATGCACGTGACTCCCTCTCTGTGCCTCTACCCAACTATCACTTCTTGTTTGACAGCGCTTGCACTTGGATGTCTTTCTTTTTTCGTCTGGTTTCGTGTTTGAGATCATGTTTTCTCGAAGTGGTTTAATTTAATTTAAAATACTCGTTTTTTTTTACATTATTTCAGTTCACTTTCCCTTATTCCAGTTGCATTTCTTATTTACTTCAAACAATTTTGTCAACTTCATCACCAGGAGTTCTGAAGCTAATGTCATCACTTCGGGTGTAACACAATCAACAGGTGCAATACCACCGGCTTCAGCTGCTGTCAGCTTGATGAGAGATTTTTCTGGGTTTATTTGCAGAGAGCTTGAACGTTATATGAGTCAACCTCTAGACATTGCCCCTCTTCCTCCTGAATTTGTGGAACCTGGTTGTCAGGTTGACAAAGACTCTTTGATCACCTGTTTCCACCTCCTGATTTGGCTGTGCCTTCCCATGCCCTCCCTGAGGATTCTGTTTGGCTGTCCACAGTTTTTCAGACTTTATTTCTCAGGTATGTGATGTTTTATCCCTTGCTCCTATATCTTATGGCTCGTGTCCTTTGTTATTGCATGAACGTACTTTCCAACCTTATTTGGTGTTTCCCTCATATCCTGACATTCGGGTTCATGCAATTCGCCTCTTAATTGAGCGATGGTGTTAGTATGCCTCGTATTTCTTAGGTTGGACTGTCCATATCTCGATGAACAACTGTTGGGTTCATTTGGGGGGGGGGGTCTCCCATTAGTCTCACTTGTGCCCAATTTTCCCGCCTCCATCTTACCCTCATTAGCCTTTTGCAGTACTTTTCCATAATCCATCTCCTGTCTGAGGCTCTTCATAGAAATCCTGAGGGGTTTTCTGAGGACACCCTCTCCCTCCCCTACCTCCTCATTGGCTCATTTATTGTCTTCAACTCTGGCTTTAAATACATGATATCTTTGTTGTTGGGACCTTTTAGGTGATGCTGTTTTATCTTGTACCCGTTTACCTGCTCCTTATCTCTGGAATTTGTGTATGGCTCCATTTTAAAGATGTTTTGTTTTTGATACGGTCCCAGAATCTTTGGAGTCTCGGGTGGCATCTGCCCGGCAACACCCTACCATTTCCCATTTATCTCAGTCAGTGCCAAGTGTGGTGCCTATTTCAGTTTCACTCTTACCTGTCCCTTTTTCCTGCAGTGCCACGACTCGCCATTTTTCTCAATGATGCACGATACACCGCCAACAGTTACAGTGACTACCAGGTGGGTTCGGGCTTAGTGGGAGCTTGCCTTGTGGCGTTTGTTCATCAATGGTACCCTTTCATCTTGGATGTTTGGGTTCTTCAGGTTTTGTCAGAGGGATTGCCCCTCCTCCCTTGTCTCAGGTACCTGTTTCCTTCCCTTCTCCTCGAGATACAGTAACTTGCGAGCATCTATCAGAGGCAGTACAAGATCTCCTCACCCAACTGGCTATAGAACCTATAGAACCACATCATTCACCAGGGTTTTACTCCCATCTGTTGTTTGTTCCCAAAAAGACCAGAGATTGGAGGCTTGTCATTGATCTGTCCCACCTCATTCGCTTTGTTCACCTCCTATGTTTCACCTCAAGCTTCAGTGGACTTTTTCTCCAATACCTATCCGCATATTCCCATCTTGAAACAGTCTTGTCCTTATCTTCATTTCATCATCAAGAGGTGGTATACCAATTTCACGCCCTACCCTTCGAGCTGGCTTTGGCTCTTTATGTTTTCTGTTGGGTTGTTGGGTAGTACACGTTTTTGCTCTTCATCTTCATGCCCTGTGGTTATGTTTCCATTTTTACATGGACAACTGGCTGCTTCTGGCCCATTCCGAACAGGAATACTCATCAGCTTTTTCTTTAAACTACTTGGGTAGGCTGGTTGAATCAGGGGTACACTTTCAGGGGGTATGTCTGATCTTACCTCACACCAATCCCAGAGAAGTACCATATCAGAAGTTATGATTTTCCTGTATGAAAATGTATTTCCAATAGGTACTTCCCTCCACTCACACTTCCCACTCATCCTTCTCTGCCAAACTTCGAAGTGATACTGTTAGTAGAGGCACATAGAAGGATTCACATGCATGATGATTTGCATGGGAGACATAGGGGGCAGCAATGAACGAGAACAGCTAATCTTGTGAGAAGAGGGAAATACCTATCGGAAATACATTTTCAGTATAGCAAAATTATAATTTCACTACATTTTTTCTGCAGTTAATCTCCCTCACCAAACATAGGAATACTTTTTCTCAGAATTGTTTTTCTTGTTAAGTTGATTGTCTTCAGTAGATTTTTCCACAGATTGATATTTTCAGTAAACATTAAGAATAAATTTTAATTAGTTCTGATTTTTGCTATCTATAATTACCTGTCAAAAAACACTAACCAAGATTAGATTTGATCGGCATTATTTTTTTATTTACTTTTTTGCAAAAATTATTCCATTCAAAAGACAGATTTGATCACTTCAGTTTTTTCCCATAAGCACAAGAATAAGTTTGATAAGCTCTTGTATTTCTAAAGATCAGTAACTTTAACAAACCTGAGGAGAAGTTTTTAAAAATACAAACACAATGAAGGCGCTATCAATTTTGATTGTTTTAAAAACTCAGAGATTTTATCAGTTTTTGTTTTGCTCTGCAGATGATTACCTTCAACAAACACAGGGAGAAATTTGCTTGTATTCTCTGAAAAGCCCATCTCATCCAGAACAGATATATGAAACAGATACTGGAGTATATAGCGTAGACTTTCATCCTCAGAGGCCACATTTGCTTGTTGTTGGCATGTATGATGGATCTGTTTCCATATTTAACCTGAAAGAAAAGAAGAAAAAGCCTATTTGCATGACTACAGATTTTATGATCAAGCATACAGATCCAGTGTGGGAGGTAAGAATTACGTGTATAAAAAGATGTCTTCAATAACACGTGTAACTCAGTAATGGTTAGTATGAAATATACATGTGTACATTACTTGATTAATAAAAACACTTGTAACTAACTGGTGGTGACCTACAAATACAATATTAATCATACAGCACTGTAACTTATTAAATTTTTTTATAAATTTTTAGTTGTTGTTTTTCAACATGACACTTCTGATATGATCACTCACCTACATACATAGAAACCTATTTTTCTCTTGAAAATGCACTAATCTTCCTGAGAGACTTGCATGCCACCAGTCTTGTGAAAACTCCCACCTAAAATGCACAAGAATTGGGTAAAATTGTGCTACTGCATGATGATGTGTCATGAAGCAAAACCCTCCATCGATGGGAGGGTGACACACCTTCTTGTGCAAATGCTCCTTCTACATTCACGTGCAAACATGTCATTATTTTCCTCGACATGCTTGCATTTAGACATGTCTATTTTTCTTAAGACTTGTTGAAGTAGGTACTTCAACAACTTTATATTTTGAACCTTTCAATAAAAATCTACAGATTAATCCTTTCACTCAAACTGCACTCTTTAAACTCTGTTCTGTGCATGTTAAAAGGTTTACTGAATTGCATTTAAAATCTAATTAAGCCATTAATTATCAATATATTTTAATGAAATTAGTATTACCATATACATTATAATTCAATTATATTATCTAAGTTTTTATTCCTTTATTTCAAAAGAAACCTCTAAACAATACTCAAGACTTCAGTTTTTTTGTCACATGAAATGCTAGCATTCAAAGTATCTTAACTTTTGTTTCTATAATACTCCATCTGCAGTGTACATGTGTGTCTAAACACAAAACTACGTATACAAGGCTGTTTACCCATCATTTGTTTAAAATTTCATCTGGTCAATTTGCAGAATAAACTAATAAATATCCCTCCCCCTCTGAAAGTAACCATGCCCAACACATATAGTAGAAAGGGGAAAGCTAATGTATACGTATTTAAAGAGATATTTATAACCAACAGAAAGAGCTAATTTTAAACTACAGTCTCTCAATGGTTATTTCAAAATTGGCAGCATTATTTGTTCACAAGCCCATTAAACCACTAAAACATTGTTGAAGGTTTGTCATCACTAGCACTTCGTTATTTCTTTTCTCACCTTATAGATATTAATTTGATAGACAGTTAAATTGTATTTAGGTTTTACTTTTATATTTTATTTAATTTTGTATTATTTCTGTTTTGAAATTAATATTTGAAAGCTTTAATAATTTTTTAGTACAACCCAAACTTTGCCTTGCTTTGCAAGGCTTATGTAACAAAGCAAGACAAAAAGTATTTTGCCAGAGGCTAAGATATCACTGCTGATTATACTTATATATCAACCACAGGCACCTTTTGACGTGCTTTTACATAAATAATTAACGGTAAAGAACAGAAAGAGATGATAAAACATTAAAAACTAGCTGGAGTACCCATCCCCTGGACAGTAGTTACATAAATTCATGATTAATGAAAGCTTATCATAGAACATGAAAAGTTGCTTCTCTTATATGTACTCGCAATCTGAGGGTTGCAGGTTCGAATCTCCATCCCACCAAACATGCTCAATCTTTCAGCCATGGGGCATCATAATGTTACAGTCAATAACACTATTTGTTGATAAAAAAGTAGCCCATGAGATGGCAGTGGGTGGTGATGACTAGCTGCCTTCCCTCTAGTCTTTCACTGCAAAATTAGAGACAGCTAGCACAGATAGCCCTTGTGTAGCTTTGCGTGAAATTCAAAAACAAACAAACAAACCCGTATATGTAATTGTAAAAAACACCCATAAAACACAAAAGGCAAAACTGAAAATTAGTATGTATCTCCCCTTGGACCCAATGAATCTCCACACCGAATTTGGTGAGAATCCATCTACAGGGGGCGAAGTAGTGGTAAAAAATGCAAAAATAACCATAAAAACTGCAAAACGTAAAATGCAAAACTGAAAATTTGTATACACTCCTGCATAGACATAATGAACCTCCATGCAAGGTTGTTACATTGATAGACAATAGACAAAAGAATTAAAAGATATGAATATATTTCCATTTCTTAATCTTAAACATTTCATTGCACTATACATTGATGATAATAGCTACAGTCAGTGATATGGTAGAGAAAATGGAAAATAAAATATAAACATTTCCTTTAAAAACCTTTTATGTTCATTTAGGAGGTTCTAGAGACTATGCAAATGAAATAAAAAACTGTAAAAAAATAATAAAGTATTTTTATACTTAACATGAAAATCACCTTACATGTGAACTATTCAGAGACTGAGTACAAATAATTACATTAATAACGAATTTTTAGAAGAAATAGTAAAAAAAAAAATTATATATTTTATTTTTCTGAAACTACATGCCTTGAAGAAAGTTACTCTCAAGTTTCAAAATATTTCATTCACCAGTTTTATTTTTGGAATGAAATTTGAGAAAGTTACATAACCTATTTACATTGTAAATAGGTTGCACTGAAAGGTAATTAACATGAATTCCTTTTTCTGCTGATGTAATTACAAATATCACTTACTATTACCAATATTTAGGAAGTTCTTGCCTGTTGAGATTGTGACTGCTATCACATATTGCAAATATAGTAAGAAGAAGAACAATGTCATATCGTCCACTGTGTATTGGGGTCCATGTTACTGCCTGGGCCTTCATCCATCCCTGCCACACATTTTCCTTCACAGATTTTGAAGCTGAAGTTGAGGAGGATGAAATGAAGTGACTTTCCACTTACTACTTCTCTACCTACTCCGTATCTCGACTTTCCCACCTTTCATAAGCCTCTTACACATTGTTCATTTTCTTCTTCCCTGTTAATGCTGCACCCTGCATTTGCTTCTAGGTTCAATTTGCCCCTACAGTTTTGTGCCTCGTCCTTTCTGCCTTACCAGGTAACACATAAATGTTATAATATACACAAAATGGGGCCTAAGGCCACCTGAAGGGGTCACCTGTTTTAACCACTTGCACCATTATGCATCTTATAGTATGTTGTCTGTCATCAATCAGTAGACACTAAGATGACATCACATAAGGGACACTCAACATTACAGTTTGTACTGTGATGTCAGTAAAACGTGAACATGCACTCTGTAGGCTACCACACAGCATGACATATGAACTTCAAAAGCAAGAAATAAAAAATATTTGTTAGTCTCAATTTATTTTCTCTTGAAACAGAACACATAGTTACTTACTGCTTAACATTTACTACTTAGTATATTATGTTTTGTCATAGTTCATCTCTCTTCCACATGTACACATAGACATTGATGGTTGGTCATATTTACTTATTCCTTACCATGTCAACATAGATGTTAATGGTTTGTTACACTTTCACATTTCACACATAGTTGTTGATATCTCGGTCTTGCTTATTACTCCTTGTCCAAATAGAAGGTAATGTTTAATGTTTATATGTCATTCATTATTTTTTCACATGTACTCTTGGTACATAATGCTTAGTTTTAATTGGTTATACCTTGCCATTTGTACATAACTACTGAGATTTAATTCTAGTTCCTTATTTATCAGTTAATTATTCCATGCCATGTCTACATAGAAGATATTGTTTTCACATTGTTTGTTACTGTTTAACATGTAACTCATTGGGGTTATTGCTTTTCTTGTATCCATAGGACCAATAATGTTTGGACGTAATTCCTCCTTATCGTGCTTAGAATATTGTATGATCATGGTTTATTGATCCTTTCCATACACACAACAGTTGATGTTTAGAAATAGTTGCTTATTCTTAACATGTATACTTAAATGCTATTGTGTGTTTTTAGTTCTTTACTTCATCACATATAACATGGAATATGTTTAATCATAGTTACTTACTCCTTACGTCACTGAAAAGGTAATGTTTCTTCCTTATTCATTACTCATTGGTATGTATACTTCATAGTTACTGTTAATTATTAGTTAATTATTCCATAATATGTACATATGATGGATGATACTTCAATCTAGTTTCTCATTAACATAATTAGACATTCATATTTGGTTCTCTTTCATTACCCTTTAATATGTACATATAAAAATTAACATTTGATATCATTTATTCTTCCTTAACTTGCAACACTTTGATGATGATGTTATATATCGTACATTACTCTTTAATGTGTCCACTTGATGATTAATGTTTATCATAAACTTTTTACTGTATAATTTGTTCCTGAGAATGATAGCATTTAGTCCTCATCCATTCACAGGATTGTTTCCTACCCACAGATTGGTTTTTTACCCACTCATCTTTCATTGTTCTGCTTTCTCGTTGTTCTTCCTCCCTTTGTTGCTTTGCCACCCCTCTTTGCTACCTTCCTCTCTTCTGTCTTCTGCACCTCATTACCCAACCCTGGCTGTCTATGCCTTCAGTCTGGCTGGTCACACCTTTTTTAATATGCATGTCCTCCTCTCCATCTTCTCCCACATACCCTTGCTCAGTTTCTAAACACTTCTTACAGGGTCCATTTGTTAGCCCCTCACAGTCTTCCCAACTTTATTTCTATTACCTTACCTCCTCAAGTCTCAGCCTTGACTTCCCCTTCCCAACTTTTCATCCCTTCTGATCCACCCTCATACACTGCTCTTTCCTTGAGATATGGCATCCCTTTCTCATTGTGTGTATTATTGTCCAGTATACTTCCCTGATCATGTAGCTATCCCTTTGTCCCACTCCTGTCACCCCTCTACCTCCATATACCATTGTATGGGATGTACGTTTCACTTTGGTTTCTTGTTCACATTTTCATATAACTTAATTATATTGGCACATATTCCTCTCTTTCATGGGATGGTACTCTCGTGATCTGTAAATATTTTCTATCTCAGATTCTTAGGCGGCATTTCTTCTACCTTTCTCTTCTTCTCTGCCTCTTTCATTCCTTCCTTATCCATTGCACTCTACCAACTTTTTGCCTGATTGGATTATAATTGTGGATTTCCATGCTCTTACCTGGGTCCCAATCAAATCTCTAACAGATGTTTCTGCTCTCCCTAGACATGTCCTATTCCTACTTGCTTTTGTATCAAACAACTTGTAGATATGTCTACAAAATAAACTGATAAAACACTTTAGTGAGGGATAGCAGAAATTATTAATGTTTATATGATGTACTTTTTTATTTGCAGCAGAATTATTAATGTTTTTATTATGCATTTGTTTTATATGTTATACTCATCCAAAATTCTGCATCAGGCCAGGATAACGGGAAGTGATCGACCATCTACCCTGGCTCAGTCAGTGTCCACTGTGAGATGGGGTGTTCAACAAGACCACTGGAGTTCTACTCATGGTATTTATATGTAACATTTTCCAGTCCAATCCAGACTGTACCTATTCCATGGACTACCAGTACCAGAGTTGTGCATCTTCCTTCTCCTCTGGCTCGCACTTGTTGGCTTTCAAAAACAAGTTTTGTGGTCACCCGTAGCACCATCTACAGTAAAAGATCTTTATGGCAGGCAACTAGTGGGGATCCGTGTACATTCTCTGGGTCTACTATACATGAATTCCCACCTCCCTTCAAGTGAAGCATGGGAGACCCTTGCCACTTATCAGCACCCAGCTGCTGGGGTGGTGAACCATGTGAATCCTCACAGATTGGGACCTAAATTCCAGGGTCCCTCTACAGTGATAAGTGGGGTAGGGGTATTTCTGGAGTGTATTGCAGATCATCCCATTGCATAAAAATACATCACAATCTCCTAGTGGAATTTGGACACATATCACTATTTCATGCTTGAATATCTGTCTGTCTTTATCATACTTCCTACTACTACTATGGCCTGAACCCTCTGTATCTCATGATGGTTTAGATGATATTATTTCATATCCAACTGTGATGTATCACTCACATTCCCTACTCTCACAGCAAGTGGCCAATAGTGTTAGTGAACCAAATATGAATACATGGTGCCATTGTCCTGTGACTAGCAAGGAACCCATAGTGTCTCACAGTAGAGGAGCTGGGTACAGATACTTATCATAAGTGCCCTTCTCTCACAGCTGGTTTTGACCCATAGAGACTGGTGGTTGAGGAGGTGTACATCCATGTTAGTCTAAATGAGCCCCAACCTAATTACATTTATTGGCTGTCCGATGTCTTGTGTTCGAGTACTTGCACCATCATGTACCTATTCCACTTATTCTTGTGACACCATGCTGGCCTTTTGGCCCTTCTATTCCTGCTCATGGAGGAGATGAGATGCAGTCTCCCATGGGTGTGCCCCTATGGAGCTACTGCCATACAATGTCATGCCCCCATGAGCTTCCTTCAGCTGCTTGCTGTAGGTTGCTCATCTAGGTAAATTTCACACTGGTCACTCCACCATCTTAATGTGGGATTCTAGCTTTCTGTGTATGGAGGTGAGTGATCATATTGGAAGTTAACATTTTCTTGAATTAAAATCGTTTTTCTGAGAGATACTTACCTCCATACATGTTCCCACCCATCCTCTGCACTTTCCCGATGCACCTTTATTTGTGGCCTCATAAAAAATATGTTTTATGTGTGAATATAGAGGGAGCATTTACACAAAAAGATGGAGAGTTTTGCTGCATGATACGTTATCATGCAGTAGTGCAGATTGACATGATTCATGTGACTTTTAGGTGAGAGTTTTCAGAAGGCTGGTGGCATGCAAGTCTACAGGCAGGTTAATGCAATTTCAAGAGGAAAATAGCTTTCTGTATATTAAAGTGAGTATCTATTGGAAATACACTTTCAATTAAGAAAAAATGTTATCTTTCAGAAGGAGTTAGGGTAACCAGAATATATTACTTGTCTGTTTCTTAATAAACTTAATTCACATTTTTTGAGTTGGTTACTTTTTGATAAGATTTATGTCATTGCTTAAAAAATAACATGAACTAAATAAAATTACAGTGTGTGTGTGTATTTAAGTAGCAGACTTTTAAATATCTTACTGTTGTTATATCTAATTGGTGGTATTAAGAGATGGGGGCCTCAGATTTTTTCTGTCAACTTGTGCCCATCCACCCCAATCCCTCTATTTTTAGTTGTGAATTTTTCTTTGCTTTGGAAATTGCATTAAAATGATGAAATACGTAGTCAGAGTTAAATCTTAATGAAGATTCAGCACAGTGCAAATTGGATTTTTTGGTTCACACTAAATATAACTGTATGATTGATTGTGATTGGCATTTGAGATTATAAAAAGTTATAGCTTTCAGAAAAAGCTGACTAGCTGCTAAACATGTTGAATGAATGTTGTTAAAAATGTAGTAGATGTTCATTTTTATATTACAGATTGAAGACACATTGTTTTTAATAAATGCTATTTATAGAGTCTGACTCAAATACAGGGTATAGCTAGACCCACTTCAATAAAATGAACATCCTTTCTTCTTTAGTTAAACAGCTGTAGGCTAGGCTAATAGGCTTACAGGTACAAGTCTTAAAATTAAACTTAATCATTTAAGATTATATACTTTTGCAACAAATTAAAATTTATTTTCTAGAACCAGTTTTTTTGTGTTTCGTAAATGATAAAAATTGTTTTCAGCCAGATACTTTCACCCTTAACCCTTTCGCCCCAGGTATCCTTTACTGCGCATGACACAAGGTTTTAGTGTTGTACATTGAAAATGTTATTAAACTAGTTTTTGTTTTTGTTATACCAATTAGAATAGCAGTTGGGCAGCTTTGCTCATCTGTGATGCTCTTTTCAGGTTCTAATAGAAGGACTGTCTCTTCATTTTTCTGATCCTCCCTTTTATCCCCATACTCATTTCTTTCCACCCTCTTTGGGATTCACTTTCTTGCCAGCATCTCTTCAAAGCAGTTTCAGATCTCTTGAACAAGGAAGCTATAGAACAGGTGTTTCATCCTTCTCCAGATTTTTATTCCTGGCTATTTGCTGTTCCCAAGAACACTGGGGATTGGTGTCCTGTTATCGATTTCTCCAATCTCAACCACTTCATCAACCTCCCATGATTCACCATGATCAAGGTTGACATCTCAGATGCTTATCTTTATACCCCAATTTCTCCAACATCCAGAAATTACATTCAGTTTGTTCATATGAGTCAGTGTTTCAGTTCCGCGCTATACCACTCGGTATGGCATCAGTGCCATACATTTTCTGTCACATGGTCAGAGCTTTTGTCTGCTATATTCACAACCATGGTATGTGGTTTCACCATTATATGGACGACTGGCTATTTTTGGCCCCTTCCCAACAAGCCTCTCATAAATAAGGGGTGCACCAGACTGTACCAACTCATGGACTATTATGAGTAAAACAGTGTCAGGATTGCTGGCCATCATTCAACTAGGACTGGCCTGCTTTTCAAAATAGGGTTTTCATTGGTCACCCTTTGCACTGCCTTAAGAGGTAATAAGAGGTAAGGTATAGTATCAGAAGTTAACAATTTCATACACTGAAAATATATGTCCAATAGATATTTATCCCTTTTCACACTCCCCCCCACACATCCTCTCCACTTCTGGTGTGTCTTTTTTGCTTAATCTTGAAATGATAAGAGTGCTCTACACTATAGAAGGAGTCAGCTAGGAGGGCATGTCACACTCCTATTGATAGAGGGTTGTTGCATACTCATTTGCATGCTCAAATGTAGCCATTCCACATGAAAACATGTGTAGGTAGGTGGGACCATCAAGGATAGTGGCAAGCAAAAACTGCACAGAGGACAGCACTAATCAAAAAAGGCTATTCTAGGTATTATGGGTGAAGAGGTAAGTATCTATCTGAAATACACTTTCACTGTAGGAAAATGTTAACTTCTTGCCCAATTAATTAAATGTTTCAAATAAAATGACACTAATAATGAAGGAAAAAACAATTTTTTCAAAATCTAGAACAAATGGACCAAATAAGGAATATTTTATATTATTTTGGTAACAAGTGGTGATTCATTTTGCATAGTGTGAAAGGCTTCTTATACCTGAGTATCTTTTATGAAGAATTTCAAATTGTTTGCACAAATTCTCAATAGTTGTTTGAAAAGGGGTCTCTGAACTACAGCAAGTGGGTGAAGCTTTTTTATCATTTAAAATGAAGTGTTAGATTAGTGATTGACTATGAAGTTAGATACTTGTAAGTTTTTCACTATAAAGAACTGTGATTATTTCTCACTTGCTTCTTTCATGTGTGTGTATGATATTATATGTTTAACATATCTTTTCTCAGGTGAAGTGGATGAATGATGATCTTGATGGTAACTTAAACTTCTGCTCTGTGTCTGCAGATGGTAGGGTTGTCAAATGGACAGTGATTAAGGTATAATATCAATTACTTGTATACTTAAATTTACTGATATGTTTTGATATGGTCTGTTATATGTTAAAAAAGTTCAAAGTAATATTTGTAAGTACATTATTAGTAGTATCCTTCTAGTAGAAATTAGATATGGCCACAGGAGTCTATCACAGTTAAAATTTGTTGATAAAGTGTTAACTTTAAATAAAGTGATTATAGGAGATGTACAGATGATTGCCTGTCCCACCACCACCAAACTACATTAACTCTATGTTAGATATAATGTTAGAGATAAAGAGTGTATAGTGGTGATTTTTAAAGTGAAATTATCACAGACTGTATTGTAATAACAGAGCAGAGAAGAATAATTGACTGTTCACAGTGGGGTACTCCAGAACTGGATTCATTCACTGTTTTCTGAATTCCAAGCTTCCCAGGCTTATGTTTCCTATTTCACATCATTTGGCTGTAGCTGTTGATGCCCTTTTGTCTTCTTCTTCTTGTCATTGCCATCCATCCTTAATTATTCCCTCTTGTAACAAGAACAAATCTTCAAAAATGTTAACTTAATTCTATAAAATGTATCTTATTTACTTATGTGCTTAAGTCATATATAAAAGTTTAACACTTTTTATTTTCTTTAGGTTCCTTCTTTATACAGGATGCAGACTCTTATGTATTACCTTGACTCTAATATGAAGTACAAACAGTAGCAATAGAGTTACTTTCATTTAGTGGATTATATTCTGTATTTTAGAATAGAACCTATTCAATCACCTCAACATCTTAGGGGACAGCTTTGAGGAAATGAATAACAAGACATATAGTATAATTAAGTATGTACAAATTAGAAAAAAATAATCATTACAAATGGCCTAGTTATGTACTGATGACAGGGGAGAAGGAAAAAAGTAGTAATTTGTCAAAGTTGGAAAAAATTATGTTTCCAAAGAGAAGGAAAATGAAGAGAACTTTGGGAAACAAGGCTAAAATGCTACATTCACCAGTATTAAAGAAGTAAAAAAATGCAAGAAAAAATGAAGTACATCATATACAAAAGAACTGGAATTAAATAGGAATGGAAAGATAAGTTAAACATAATAAAACAGAAAATATTGAGTAATTTGCAAGTAATATTCATAAAAATTGT